AGTCTCTTTGACCCACTGAATTAAATAGGACTTCTTCGAAGCATTGTACTAGATTATAATTAATTTGAAAGAATTTCTCAAGTTAGGTTAGGCTTCAAGGCTGATGAGATTGTGTCGCATGAAGATTGGAAGGATAGGAAAGAATTTCTCATTCGTCCTCGTCTTTTACAGCAGCGTCACTTCAACCGTGATTGAATATTTAAGCAACTCGGTTCTCTTTTATTCTCAAACTCGAACTTGTCATACTGGTCGTGGGATAAATTAGCTTTCAGCCGACGAGAAGGGGATTGATTTGTCTGCAGGAAATTTTCCATTAGCCCGATTGGTAATCATCAGTCACTCGTTCATCTAGCTAGCTATCTCGAAACAAAACTAACACTACATTGTTACGTCTGCATTTATAAAATTATTATAATTATTATAATAGTTTAATTATGCACGAATAAAAATCAGACTATTTATAATAATGATGTAATTATTATATTTTTTAATGAATATATTTTCTAAATAATATTATAAATAATAATTGTTAACAATTTCAATAAAATAAATTATGTAAGCCTGAGGAATTGGCGTTTGTGTTAGGAAATCATTTATGACTCATTCTTTATCATCGTATAAAGTATGTTAGGTGTATCCTGGGACATGAGACACGGGTTGGAATGGCTACTGAGTAAATTTCAGAATTTAACGGTCGGGAAGAGCGTTATTGAGCAACGGTAGCGCGATTTTACGATTATCCTCCTTTATGCTCGTCCTATTCTTCCCGATGGCGACGCACAGCGCCGTAACCGAGCCCGGCGCAAGCGTTAAGGACCATAACGAAAACTGTTGTTGGAAAATAATCGTGCAACTCGTCCGAAGTGAGGATGTGTCGCGTACGTGGAATCGATTCTCATAAATATTAATAGAGCGACGTTGAGCAAGCTGGCGCAAGGCCGTGGCGAATTAATAAGGCCACCTACTATTGCGGATCACCGGCAATGCCCTCGATCGGCGAAACGAGACTAGAAGACTGGCTCGTGTCGTTAATGCGCGAAGTTGCAAGAGATAACTGACTTGAGGAATTACAAGCCTAGTAAGTATGGAATTTTTGACGATTTTTAGAATATATTTCGATATTTATCGATATTTTGCCAAAAAAAAAATTTTCGATTTTTTCGAAATTTTTCCAAGGGGTACCCCTTCAGATTTCGCGAAATTTTCGTTTTTTGACGATAACTCCCAAACCGTTCGTCGTACGGGGAAGTTTTTACAACCATTTTGTAGAGCTCGACGAGATCTACAATTTCCATATAAAAACTTTTCTCTAGCCTCAATATTTAACGAGTTATTGACGAAAAACGAAAAAACAGTTTTTTGCAAATAACTCGTAAACTATTGACGCTAGCAACAAAATTTTATATGGGAATTGTAGATCTCGTCGTCCCCTACAAAATGAGCGTATAAACATTCCCGTACGACCAACGGTTGAGGAGTTATTGGCAAAAAACGAAATCTTTTGCCAAAAGTTGGTTGATTCGAGGCTGGAATGGTCGGATTTCGTCAACATTAATAAAATGCCAAATAATCATATGTAACTC